TGGACAAAATAAATAGTGTGAATTGTTTTCCTCTCAGGAACTTACATGGACCTAAGTAAAGCTTTTTTAAGCCTTTACGACAAGATGGAATGAAGTTTACTGCTTATCAGTAGGTCTTTCGTCAAAGCTATAAATTCTACATTTTGCAGTTTCTAGTTTATTGGCGGTCGTCCCCAGCAGTTGCTATTCTGACAACACAAATCCTCATAGGCCTAGAACAAAAGTTGGCTCAACGGCTGAAAACGTATTCTGAAGGAGGCTCCTCTCAAGACGTACTACACTTTTTAAACTTTCTGTCTACCACATTTTCGCCTTTAAAAATCAAGGATCCGTTACAAGCTTCTCTGAAATATTTTCAAAATTGTATGCGATTCTTTCTTAGTAGACCAAGACTTGAATATGCTTATTTAAGTTATCACATTCGTAGCACATTCACGGAATTTGGAGAGCAAATTAGTCAGCTGGACTGTCTGGTTTGTGGGATTTCTCGGCAATTTGTGCATGGACGAAACAACGGTAATCAACCTTACCATAATCATTTGCACACTATTCGAAAATGACTCCAAGGCATGCTTCCGGATAATAGCTGATGAGTTTGTTAATGTAACATTCTGAGTGATTCGGTATTTAACTTTTCCCGCTCTATTGGGGCAGTTTGATTGCGTTTGTCTGTATTTCATTAGTGCTCAGAAATGTGCGTCTGTCAAGGAACCACTATATGCCAGAATGTCATGCTTGTTTTAATTGGGATTTCAAACCTTGAGGCCTTTGAAGGCTTTATGGGGAGTATGAATCACCAAGGGGATAGACTCGCGATTGTATTGTAAATTTTCTCGTGTTCGAATGTGTTAAGCCCCAAACTGAATTCTTTTCAATGCGGATTTCCCGCGACCAGGATTTTCCTCATCTGAAACCACTTCTTTTATCAACACTTATTCTTTTGTGATATTTCAACTCAGTCATGCTACCACCTGAATCCAACTTTTTAATTTACTTCTCGGAAGGAAAAGGAATTGCCGTACCGCCACTTAGATAGCGTGAGCATTAAGCAACTACCATACCATGTATCCTTCTAGCCACGCATCGTAATTTCTATATTTGAGAGAGAAGGAAAGATATATGAAAGAAAGCTCTTAAAATCCTCCACTTTCCGACTCTGCAAAGTAAGGAAGACCGTTTACATTTAACCACCACCTTGAATCTTTTGACCCAGAGCCAGTAAGAGAAATGCAAAAAGATGAACTCAAAAATGGTAATTCGTCCTGGGTCGAAATACTTGTGCACATTCTTTAACGTTCTGCCAATCATAGGCAGAAGCATTTAATGACTGCTCTTCTCTGGAGACTTCAAGGTTAGGCACTTCCTTCGATCACCAACCCCATTCAACGACCTCTTTCTTACGTCAGTCATTTACGAGAGACTAAAGGTGACATTTTAAGGAGAGCAGTCCTTTTAGCCGAGTTTAGGGACTCTGAACGATCACTTTTTGATGCCCTTAAAATGGCTCACTACAGATGTAATTTCCTCCAGCATTAATTATCACCTAACCATCAAATACAAAGCCAAAAAGCACCATCAGATGCCAGAATAATTTCTGATTAAATAGATGCTCTGGATCCGAGCATTTTCATTTAAATGCATCATCTAGCCTTAACTCAACGAAGGCACAGCAAGTGAGGCTGGACTCTATCAATTCAGTGCAACACCGTCAAGAGCATTAAGGAAAAAACCCATGACTTCTCTTATTGGAGAGAAAGGTCAGTCCAAAAGAAGTCATTTTTGTCCTAAACTCGAGTTGCCGTACTGCAAGGCCCTGCCATACCGCATCTGATGGAGGAGGAGACACTCCTCTGTTGCCGTCTTCCAAATCATTTTAATGTCTCTCGGCAATTGTAAAATTGCATGACAAGTAAG